CGCCCCCGCACCTCTGCCTCCCCATCCACACCCCCACTCCCAGCCTGTGGCCCTGTCTCCTGTCCACCTGCCTGGGCAGCAGCCGCCACCACAGCAGAAGACACCTCTGCCAGCCCCTCCTCCCCCACCGGCTGCCCCTGCCCAGACGCTGGTGCCCGCTCCAGCCCATCTGGTGGCTGCAGCTGGTGGAGGTTCCACGGTCATCGCCCACACGGCCACCACCCACGCCTCAGTCATCCAGACTGTGAACCACGTTCTACAGGGGCCGGGCGGCAAGCACATCGCCCACATTGCCCCCTCGGCCCCCAGCCCTGCTGTGCAGCTGGCACCTGCCACACCCCCCATTGGCCACATCACAGTGCACCCTGCCACCCTCAACCATGTGGCCCACCTCGGCTCCCAGCTGCCCCTGTATCCACAGCCCGTGGCAGTGAGCCAGCCCGTGGCGGTGAGCCACATTGCCCACACCCTCTCACACCAGCAAGTGAATGGCACAGCGGGGCTGGGACCCCCAGCCACTGTCATGGCAAAGCCAGCTGTGGGGGCTCAGGTGGTGCACCACCCCCAGCTGGTGGGCCAGACAGTGCTCAACCCCGTGACCATGGTCACCATGCCCTCCTTCCCGGTCAGCACACTCAAGCTGGCTTGAGGATGAGGCCACTCAGAGGCCCCCAGTGGGGGCAGGGAGGGGGACCTGTCCCCCACTCTCCCACCCACCAGCTCCACACATTCCAGCCAGGCCAAGGCCCGCCCCACCCACACCCACCCCCAGGCCTCCTAGGGGAAGGGGGTGCAGAGACTCTGAGCCAGGGGAGGGAGGGCCCCCCCCCAGGGAGCTGGGCACAGGGCAGGGGGTTACCCCACTGCACTAGGACTTGATAAATTGATGAGACACTCTGGTGAATGTGCCACTCGTCCGGCCTGGTGCCAGCTCCAGTGCCGTTCCCGCCTCCCCACCTTGTCCCCTGCAACCAGTGAGAAGTGGGTGTTGTGTTCTCCGGCTTCCCCGACCCTGCCTGCCTTCCTGTGCTGCTGCTGCTATTGCTGTCTGATGAGGTGGCTGAGTGCCGGGTCCTCTGTCCTGAGCCTCGGCCTTCTCTCCCCAGGCCTTTGGAGGGGACGGGGAGAGGGAGCAGAACTGAAGCAACTTGGCCCAGAAAGCTGGGTACCGTGGGGTGAGGGGGTGCTCTGCTCTGAGTCACGTGACAGATCCTAAGACGTGGCTGCTCTGCAGTCCCACCCACACAGGTGGGCGCCAGCCTACGGTTCAACCCAGCTGCGGTCACTGGCTCGTCACAGCAGAAGCTAGTTAAGAGGAGTCTCTATCAACAACTGAACCCGTGCTGTTGCTAAGTTCCCTGAGCGCCCCAATCCTTGCCACTGGGCTCCTGACCTCAGGAGGGTAGGCTGAAGGTGGGTGGGGACTGGGAAGGAAGGGCTTAGCGGTCCTGCCCCTCCCCCCCTCCCGCCAGCCTGGGTACGGATGGGGAGAGAGCTTCTCTGGACCCGTCAGTCCCCATCCCTGGTTCCCTGGCCTCTGCTCAGTGCTGTGCACTCCCGAGGGATGGGTGTGCCTGAGTGCCTCCCGCAGCCTCAGAGAAGTGGATTAATAGCTATCTGGTCTGGGTTCCAGGTGCCTGAAGCCACACTGCTGAGGAAGTTAAAAATCCAGGGCCTGGGCCCAACCAAGCTCCTTCCCTGCTGCTCTGGGGACCTGTAGAGAAGGGAGGAGGGCTGCTACTCCTGCCCCAACTCCTGTCTCTGCCATCATCTCTCTCTTTCCCCCTGAACATCCACTTTTTCCCAGTGGGCTGTTCTGAGTGTATACTCGGTGGAGGCTGCTGCGTGCCACAACTTTCCTCTGAGGAAGGTCCTTGGTCGGACCTCGGGCAGGGCTGAGCTTGGGGTGGGGAGTCAGGGAGGGGGCCTGTGTGTGTGGTGGTGGGGGGGCATGCTTCTTTCTCTGCCTCGGCAGACCGCTTTGGCTTCTCTTTTTATGTGGGTATTTATTACAAGTGGCCTTGTGTCAGACACACTCAGTTGTGCACTCGGCTCCCCACCTGGACACAAGATGGCCTTTCAGTGTGGGGAGAGGAAGCCAGTGTCCCTAGGTGTGAAGTTTGCTTTGACAGGCTGGGGGCAGGAGGAGTGGCCTGCAGTGTTCTGAGGAGGCTGGCAAAGGTCTTGAACAGGTTTGGACACCTAAGAACCCCCTTTCAGTCCCTTCCTGGTCCTGGAGACTTCCCAGGGGACTGCTCTCCTTTGTCTCTCCTGGGGTGGGGAAAGGGAGGGCCTGTGGACACCCTAGAGGCCTCTAAGAGGGAGCCCCACACCCATCCCGGCACAGCACTCACACCTCACAAGCTCGCTGCCTTCCTGCCCCTGCAGCCACCACCTGCCACCCTGGTTCTTGGGGAGACCAGTTTCCACTCTTCCTTGAGTGATTAGAACCGAAAGAGCAGAGGGAGCCCGATCAGCCTGGCGCCCAGGGAACAGAGAAACGTTGGGGAACCTGCCCTCCCTCTCAAGCTCTGTTCACCTCCCTGCATCCTGAGGCCATTCCAGAAAGTGTGTCAACCAGTGGCCTCTCGGGCCTGCACAGATACCTCATCCGCCTGTTCACCGCCCCTGCCCCTCCCCACCCCTAGCAGTGGGGGCCTTCGAATCTAGTGCCGAATGACTATGTCCAGATTGGTGACGATGGGTGTTGTTGCTGTTGTTTTTGTTGTTTGTGAACGCTGTGATGCCGTGTGCCCGAGAGGGCAGCCGCCGCCCAGCCCTTCCTTGGGCATCTCCCCTCTGAGAGCTGTCAGGACCATATCTGTCCTCACCCTGTGGGACCGCCTGCCCCTCCCCTCCCTAGCCTTTCCAGCCTGGGGGACGCGTGCGTGTGCGCACACATACACACACACATACACACACACACACACCTTACCTCTCATGCGTGTTTTACTTTTTGATGTTAAGAGTGGTTCACTGGCTGGGAGCCTTTACCTCGGGGAGAGGGGGAGGTTGGTTCCTTGGGGGGCCAAAGAAGGGCAGGGAGTGCCTGGAGGGGAATTAGGGGTCACCATACCCCTGCTCTCCAGGAACAGCTTCTCCCCCATCCCAGGGTTCCATCCCCATCCCCTAAAGAGGTGGCCCTTGTTTACAGTGAGGACTCGGTCACTGTGTCTCCGTTTCCTGAAATATAAACCGTAGCGACCCCAGACTGTAGAGATTTTTATGTGTTTGGATACATCTGCTGTGTGGGAAAAAAAAAAAAAAAAAAAAAACCCTACAAAAACCCTAATTTTGTACATATTGTATTTTTACTATTGAACTGTATTCTAGTGGCTGTTCATGCTCCAAGACTTTAGGTATTGAGACATGAATACTATCCATGTAATAAGCACTTGCCTGGAATAAAATATAAAACTGAAATAAACCTGCACTGAAACCAGAGATGGGGCTGTCAGGCTGCAGCATCTGGGTCACTTTGTTGCAACAGGAGGCAGAGCCTTTTAGGGAAAGTCCTCTAGCAAGCATCGGGGTTCTTAACCCTGTGGACATTTGAGGGGCATGGGTCCTCGAGCAGCTTCGGTGCTGGTCAGTTTTAGAAGATTTGGGGCCTTCCAGTTCTGATGCCAGTGTTCGATCCTAAACGGGCTCTGAGGACTGCAATTCTGGTCTTCCTTATACTTTTGCAATACTTCATACTTCCTCAAAACCATTTTTACAAACACTATCTTGTTTCATCTCTTAAAAGCATGGCGGAGTAAACGAGCCAAGAACTAGCCCTGTTCTGGCAGATAAGGAAACAGGTTCGAGGTGGCTTGGTATGGCCACACAGCTAGCCTGCAGTCCAATCTGTCAACTCCATGCAGAGTTCCCCAACATGTGCCACCCTGCCCTGGGCCTGCTGTAGAGTTGTGAATCCTGAACTTTATCAAGTTCCAGTAGGAAAGGTGGAGGGGAACCGCCTCAAGACCTGTGCGCAGAAGGGTGAGAGGCTTTCTTAGAGGGCAATGCACTTCTGAAGTTGTAGTTAGGACGGGTCATCTGGGGAATCCATAAGGGAAAGGAACAAAAAGAGGAAGAAGTTTGAAGGTCAGGACTCAAAGAACCATGTTCTAAGATGGGCCCGGAAGACCCTTGTCCCTATAACGACATCTCTCCCAGTTTAGGGGAAACCAGCCCTTTGGCAGGCTGTCTCAGGAGGAAGTGGGGAGGTAAGGAAGAGGCCCAACTATAGACCAGGCAGGCTGCCTTGTCGAATGCCCCAGCGACACGTTCCCCACTCCCAGCCCCAGCCAGAGGAATGGACTCCACTTCTCTTCCTGGGGTGGGCTATCCTTAGGGAAGGAAGTGGTCACCAATGTCTTGGGTCCCATTCTCTTGAAGAAGCACCAGCTCAATAAAGGCCAGGCCCAGTGTCCCTCTGTGCTATAATCCTGCCAGTCCTTTCACTTGCGAGATGCTGGCTCCCCCTGCTGGTAGCTCCAGGAAGAGATGAGTCCCCTGACCTTAGGGAAGGCTTTAGGGTTAGGACTAGTATTTCCTATGTGCCTATTCAGTGTCAGACACTGTCAAACACTGGGGACAAAGATGAAGACTCTGCCCCTGGTAGTGATGACCCAGTATCATCTCGGGGATATCACTATCTTTAAAAAAAAAAAATTTATGAAAGAGAGAGGGTGTGAGCAGGGGAGGGGCGGAGAGAGAGGGACACAGAATCTGAAGCAGGCTCCAGGCTCCGAACTGTCAGCATAGAGCCCGATGTGGGGCTCAAACTCACGAGCCTCGAGATCATGACCTGAGCTGAAGTAGGATGCTTAACCGACTTGAGCGCCCGGGGCTAGCACTGTATATTAAGGGTAGGCAGAAACTCCCCCAGCTCAGCTGGAGCCTGCAAGAGGGGGCCTGTGATCAGAGTAACAGAAAACAAAAATCCCGATTTAGGAATCCAGGTGCTTCCATTCAGCAGCTCTGTGTGAGAGGAAGACTTCAGGGGTTGGAGGGTTCCCTGAGGTGGGGTTCCTACTCGCGCTTCTTGCTCTTACTCTGCACGTGGCATTGCCCTCCGTGGACCCATCACTTTGGCTGCTGGCCTCTGGTCCTAGAAGCCGACCCAGGAGGATGGGGAGTGCCCACACTTCTGGGTGGAGAGGAAGGTGGGAGTATGTAAAGGAACCAGACCACTCCCAGGCTAGTTTATATGGAGCCTTGGTGAAGTCACAGCACCGGGAATTCAGACTGCTCCAGGCAACAGTGGGGGAAGTGTTGCCTTGAGGGGTTTATAAGGTTCCCTGGACCCAGATTTCCCTGTGCCAACTAGTTTCCTTGCCTTGGCAGCTCTGAGTTGATAACAGGCCCTGATGCCAGAAAGCCTGTGTCCTCTAGACCAGAGCACATGCTGATGGCCGGAGCCCTCTCCCAGGAGCCGTTGATGATGGCGGCAGTGGCCCTCTAGGGTGGGGGAAGACAGGTGGGAACCTACTATTCCAGTGGGGCCCTCAGCAGGTCTGATCCCTCCTGACACTTTCCTCATGCCCCATCCTGGAGCAGGCATCGCAGAGTGCTCCGTGGCCAGGAGCCAGGGCCAGAGGGGCTGGGTCCTTCCCCACCAGCTGGAGGGGCCGGGAAGCTCCTGCAGATTCCAATTCAGGCTCCAACTCATCATTATAGCTGGTCAAGAGGGCAGGCAGGCTGGGGAAGCGGTGGGACAGGGACCTATACTCATCCAGAGGCTGGTCAAGTCATTGGTTGGTCTGAGATAGGAACACTGGCTCTGGGGTGAAGTCGCCCCACTGAGTATTCGGGGTCTAGCTATCCCCTGCTCCTGACCAGCCCACAGCTGAGGTCCCTCTCTCCTGGAAACTTTGGTTCTCTTTTTTCACCGTCCTTGCCTTGTGGGGCTGGCCCTCTGTACAGTTCAATTGTGGAGCTTCCAGAATTTGCCAGTACACAAAGTCACTTACTGTCCAGTGAGTGTCCACTGCCCACTCAGCAGCCCCCAGAGCCACAAGGATTGCCAAATGCTGTGTTTATTGGTCTGTTAACAACACTGAAGAGTATAGTTTCTGAACCAAAAAACATATACACTCTGCTTCTCACAAAACCAGAGTCACTAAGGCAGGCACACAATGGCCACCATGCTTGGTGGAGGCTGAGGATTCACGGACAAGGGTAGGCAATGGGGCAGCTGGCCCTCAGACAGGCCATGCAGTGCCCAGGACAGGGGTGGGTTGAGGAGACTGCAGGATGCCCAAGGACCGCTGGGCCCTTTTCATGTTTCTCAAAGGCAGGGAGTCTCCAGACCTAAGTGACTGCTGGACAGGCCCCTGTGGCAGAATGGCCCCAGGGCAGAGCCTTAGCCTTATGTGTTTAGGGGTGGGGGGGCAAGTAGGGATGACAGAGCAAGCAGTGTGCTTAGGCCTGGGATCAGGAGCTGGGCCCTTCCCGACATCTCTATGAGTGAGGCTCCTCCAGGGGGCTTCGGGTCTCCAGGCTTCTTGGCATCCTGAGGAGCATGGGGCAGGCAGGGCTGGCCTTGCTCCTCACCAGGGACAAACAGGGATGACCCAAGCATCCTCCCCTCCCCCCCCACCCCCCACCAGACTGAGGGACCCAGTGGGTGCCTGAGACAGGCGATGGGCTGTCCCAAAGCTCTGGGGCCTGTCCCTGAGAGGAGGCTATCACAGGATTTCCTCCCTAAAGAATCACCCTGGGATTCCTCTCAAGGGCAATGCTCCCACTGCGTTTCCAGGTCATCCAGTGGGCAAAAGTGTCATTTTTCAGGGGGGCATCTAATGCATAAAGCAAGAACTAGGTGGCGAGAGTGAAACTGTACAGGTACACGTAGGTGCCCTGTACGGGCTGGGGAGCGCACAGGGTCACCCCAGGTGGCCAAAGGCAGTGGCAGTGCTGCTGAGGTGGGCTTCTCCCACTGGGCCCGCATCTTCTGACTGCCTCAAGGTCTCCTGCACCCAGAACGCATGCCCGAACCGGCAGCTGTTCTGGCTGCCCCCACTGGGGCTGCGCTGGGCATATGCACTATGCCTGCAAGAGGACTCGAAGAAGAGATACAGCACAGAGTCCCTTTGCCCACACGACCCATGCCAGGTGGGGCCAGGCAACTACGGCCCGTTATATCTATACGGCCCCAGGCTGACCTAGGAGAGGCCAGGAGGAGCAGTCTGGGCTGAGGCTGCAGGTGACAGTGGGGCTATTTCCAGGTGTTTGAGAGGGGAGCAGAGTAGGTGTCCCCCAGGGGAGCCACTCCCTGAGGCCAACCTCTCCCATCCCATCCCTGGCCTGAGGGCATCCAGGCCCCTGACTTGCCCTGCAGGGCCAGCACTGCCTAGAGTCCGATCCCAGGCTCACAAACGCTTTGTTAGGAACACGGGTGGGCAGGCAGGGTTGGCTGGGGCTCGGGCAGTCTCCGCTGCACTGCCCTGCGCCTCTGCCCGCGGGGGCCGGGGGCCCGGAGTCCAGGCTCCAGTCAGCTGCCGCTTCCTGGCCACAGCCCTCACTTGTTCTCTATGAGCATCTGCACCTTGTGGACGAGGTCCCGGGCAATCTGCAGGATCTCCTGGGCATCGTGATGCTCAGCCCGTTCTGGGGGAGACAGAACTGTGGGGATGCTGGGGCAGGGGCAGTAGTCTGCGAGGAGCCCTGTGGTGGCCCACCCTGCTGTTTCCACCTGCTGGACTCGGGACATCTGCCTACGGGGAAGGGACTGGAGATTTCTGAGAGCCCCTCCAACCCTTCCTGGGCCAGAAGTGGAGCCTCCCAAACCCCTGCAGGGGGCAGCCGGGATGGCTGGAGCGGCTCCTACCATTGAAGAACTTGATGATGTCGGTGAAGTCCATGTTGTTGTCCCGGATAATCTCACGGTAGGCCTCTACCAGGGCCAGGGCAATGAACAGGACAAAGTGCTCTGATGAGATGTGCCGGGCCGCCCAGATCACCTCCCACACGGCAAACACGTCCTCGTACAGCAGCTCTGGGGACAGTTAGGGGCTAAGGCTGAGCCTGGCTCCCCATGGGCCTCTAGGTAGAGCCAAATGCAGAGACAGAACTCCAGAGGCCTAGGTCCTGGGGTTCTCCCTGTTCCACAGAGCCCTGTCCAAGCAGAGGGTTCCAAGCCCCAGGTCGAGACCCTGCCCTTCTCCTTGGTGATTCCCGCACACTGGACTTGGGCAGCCTTCACACCTGTGCTCTTGTCAGCTGCTCTTTATAAGCCTTGCTGCTTGAGAAGATTTGGTTTGGAAACAGTCCCCAAAACCACTGGCTTAGGGTAACTGCTGGCGGCACTTTGGAATCACGTAAGGAGCTTTTAAAATTGTGGATGCCCAGGCAGCCACACTTCATTAAGTCTGGGGCTGGGTGAGCCCGTGACGCTGGCATGTCTAAAAGGCTCCCTGGTGGTTCCAAAGTGCAATTAGGGTTAGGAACCACTGACTTTGGGGGAGAAGGATCTCCCACTGCCTTGACCCTAGTCCCACCATCAACCCATCTCTTACCTCTCTTAAAATCCAGGAGGAACCAGCGGTAACAGAAGTAAAAGTGGGTGTAGTCTCCATTCTGATGCATCAGCTCAAACAGCTCTGAGTCCAGGATCTTGCAGAAGTAGAGAAAAGGAGGCCAACTGAGCTGATGCTGCCTCTCCCAGCCTCCCCTGCCCACTGTGCGGGCTGCTGGCATTGCTCCCGAGACCCTCCGGTCTCCTTGGGTGGAGGCTGCCCTCTGCTGCCCCATCCGTCTCTCTGGGAGTTGCTCTCTTTGCAATTATACCACTTTCTGGGTGTTTGATTCACTGTCACCTGTACTACTCACCAACACTTTCACGGGCACAGTATTCCCATACTGACATCCCCCTCAATTTGCAACACTGAAAACAATGATTTCTCAAGTGATAGAAATTAAGCTTATACATAAAGGACATTTCTGGAATGCTCCCTGGCCTCCCTGTGGATTATGGACGAGCCTGGAGGTGCCTGGTCACGAGCCCACAGGCAGCTGCACACCTCACCTGGATGAGGGAACGCATGTTGGCAAAGTGGGTGTCCATGGCGCCCCCGTTGGGGAAGTTCTGGCTCATCCTCTTCATGAGGTGGCTGAAACAGCTGTAGGCCAGCTGATCTGAGGGGAGATGGGGAGTGAGGCCGGCAAGGCAGCAGACCCCAATGCCTCATCTCACAGGAGGTGTCCTGTGGTCCGGACGACAGGGTTGACCTACATTCCCACCCTTCTAGAACTAGTGGTCTTCTTTTCCTTTCTCCAGCTGATCTCAGCCCAATCCCAATACCATTCTGGGAATACTCTCAACCCCCACCCCCGGCCCAGTCCCTCACCATCATCGAGGATGACCAGGAGAGGTGCCAGCAGGTCGCACATGCCCTGCACATAGCCCACGTCCAGGTGCTCCCACACGTAGCTGAAATGACGGGGAGAGAGCCACTGTGGTTGTGTGCCATCCTCTGCTCCCCGCAGGGACCCCTAGGGAGATGGTCCCTAGAGCGGCCTGCTACCCAGAAGTCAGCCTTTCCATGACCCTAAAGTTCAGGGAGTATAGTGGTAACCCACAGTCTCTGTCCTCAAGGCACCCAGGGGCTCAGGGAAAGACAATAAACGGCTTTCACCGCTCGGTTTGCTCGGGTGAGGGCAATCAGCTAGGCTTCCTGGAGAAGTATGGCCGAGGCTGAGATCTGAAAGACCCCTAAGAAAGAAGAGGGGTGGGGTGGGGGGCACAGCGGGGAAGTGTTCCAGATGGAGAGAGCTGAGTGTGCTTCAGTGCAGGGCAGAGGAGCAGGGCACCTGCCAGACCTAACCTTCCACAGAGCAGGGTCCCTGCCTCCCTCCCTGAACCCTGCCCCACAGTGGCACCTGCACATGACGTCTCTGAGCCTCTCCAGGTTGGGGGGTGTGAAGTACCAGTAATTGCGGTCACATCGCTGCACATCCTTGTCTATGCGGTGCAGATTTAAGGCCATAGTATCCAGTAATTCTATCTGAAAGAGTGGGGGGCCCTCAGGAATGAGTTGGGGGCCAGAAGTGGTGCCTACATAAAGGGATGCAGCAAAGGCAGGAACCAAGAGACTCTGAAAACAGAGCCCCCAGGGATGCTGAGAGATGAGCTCAGCACCCCCTGCAGGACAGTGAGGGTAGCCCCACCTTCCACCCACCAGCCCGTCCCCACGCCTCAGGGATGTCAGGAGGGCCTCTGGGGCTGGCTGAGAACAGTCCCTGGGGAATGTCCACATACAGTGTAGGCAGCAGCGCACACGGCCGCAAGCTCCTCCCCTGCCTCCAGCTCGCGAGCCCGCGAGGCCTTCTCCTGGCTGGGATCTTGGGGCTCGGAGAAAACACGGGCTGCCAGGACCGGCCCGTCGGAGCCTTCCTCCCCACCGCCATCGTCCTCCTCCTCGAAGCCCATGCTCTGCCCCTCGTCTATGCTCGACTGGATGCCCGAGGCCACGGAGTAATTGCGAGAGGATGGCAGTCCCGAGTCTGGAGAGTCAAACTCCACTGACTGCTGCTGTTCCACCATGGTGGTGCCGGGGGGCCCTGCTCCCGGCTCCTGCTCAGGCTCGGGTCTGGGATCTTCAGTGCCTGGGGGCTTTGGGGGCTCCAGGTCATCCACAGAGAGAAATACCTGGTAGGGGTGAAGAGATGGTGGGGCTCACACCTATACTCCAGCACCTTCCCTCAGCTCACCGTTTCCTTCCTGGGGTCCGAACAAGAGGGATGGAGAATTCTACAACTCCATGGCCTCCACACTGCCTCACCCACCACCCCCAGGTTGCCAAGCCTCCCCTCTGACCCACACAATCAGGGGGAGAGCAATCAGGCTCCGCGCAAACACGGAGACACCATCTTTTAGCCCCATCCAGTCCCCCTCCTCAGGCCTCTCTCTGGGGCCTGAGAAAAAGTGTGAAGCACTGCAGGACTACCTGTGGCTGCTGCAGGGAAGGGGAACTAGAAGCTTAGACACCTGATGGCGGATGTGAGTTACATGTAACTCTACTAACGCCTGAAGACGTGAGGCTGCCTCCAGTTAAGAGAGCTTGGTACTGGGGCGCCTGGGTGGCGCAGTCGGTTAAGCGTCCGACTTCAACCAGGTCACGATCTCGCGGTCCGGGAGTTCGAGCCCCGCGTCAGGCTCTGGGCTGATGGCTCAGAGCCTGGAGCCTGTTTCCGATTCTGTGTCTCCCTCTCTCTCTGCCCCTCCCCCGTTCATGCTCTGTCTCTCACTGTCCCAAAAATAAATAAACGTTGAAAAAAAAAAAAAATTAAAAAAAAAAAAAAAAAAAAAAGAGAGCTTGGTACTAATGAAGGCTGGCACTAGACTTGGTGTGGCTGCTAGGGCAGCCTGGTGGGCGGCAGGCTGGGGGTGTTAGGAAAACAAGTTCTCCCTTATTTTCCATTGACTGGCAGAACAAGACAGGAAACTTCTCTAGCAAGTGCCTAATCAGTTATATTAGTTTCACACACATGCTCAGGAGGGGACAACTGGCAAGGTAACCTGTTCTGCTGATTAGAAACAGTCCACCTCTGTGGACAACTCCCAGAGAGAATCAAAGAGACATATACGGATTTTCTTTTTCTATTTGGGCTATGTAGGGAAAGGGATACTAAAAGGAGTTTTCACTTTGGCAAGAAGCATGAAGTGTTGGGTTAGAATCAGGCAAGGCCATGATTCTAAGGCGACACAGAGCCTCAGATTAGTGCCAGCAAAGGAAAGCTACTGCTGTTCATGTGCTAAGCATCTGGGGCGCTGGTTCAGACTCAGGACTGTACAAAACCCAAAGCCAGAGAGAAAGAGAATACGCTCATGAATAGGGGAGTAAGAACAAAGCACATGGAAAGGAGCACAAAGTTATATTTCTCCAGCTTCAGTTTTCTGTTAACGCTGGTAAGCATTTAGTAAAGTGACAAGAATGTATGTTATCAAGAGAGACAATTTTAGAGAAAAAAAAAAACCATGTAAGTTAATAAAAGGATATCCCTAAAACGGAAACTTATCCTTTCTGTTTCAGCCAGCAAGCCACGTTTTGTCACCTGCTGTTCATCTAAAGGCAGGGGTGATGCCAGAAGAACTACACAGGCTCTGAACTAGCTTTGCCTGGTTAATTCCACTAGGGGATGGAAAACACCACAGAGGGAGGGAGATCTCCAGACACCAATGGGACCTGAGAGCTGTTCTGGTCTCTGACCAGTAGCTCTTGGTGAAATCTCCACAGTCAGAGGCGACAGGGGACACCAAGGCCCAAAGAAAAGAAGTTACTCAGCTTGTTGGCAGCGGACCTGGGACTCGAACCCAGGCTGCCTGTCCCTAGCCTTGAGATGTCTCTACAAGGATGGAGGGCTTCCCTAAATCCTGATATACCCTTCTTTCCCTTCTTGTCCATTAAAACAGAACATAGTTCACTATCTCATTTTATTCCTGCAACACTCAGAGAAATGGGCAGCAGGGGGACAGTCACCCGGTTTTTCAGTAGAAGAAAATGAGACACAGACACATTAAGCCATTCTCCCAGGGCACCGGTGCCAGTGACTACTAGAGGTCGGGCTGGTGCTCAGGACTCCATGTTACTCCTATAAAACGCCGGTGGCCCCTGCCCCTGGCTGCCCCGGGTCCCGTCAGGCTCACGTCATTGCTGATGGTGGAATCTCGGTGGATGAGGCGCTGCACATGGCTGTCAATGCTGCTGCCCGAGGAGAACTTGGTGAGTGTGGCTGGCTGCGCGTCCCTCTCCCGCTGCCTCACTGCCACCTCGCAGGCCTTCCACTCTGCCAGCACCCGCTTGTACCTTGCTGCCACTGCTGAGTCCACCTGTCTCAGAGCATACCGTGACCATGGAGGGAGGGGTGTCCTGGGACAGCAGGGGTGAAGACTGCGGGGCTGCTCTCTGCTAACATCTTCCTGTGCCATGTTCCTTTCTGTCTGGGAAGGGGCCAAGGCTTCAGGGGTCCCTCCCTGGGGTCCCCTGGCTCAGCTCATCTCCCTATCCCCACGGGAGGTGGGGGGGGGGGTCCCCTTACCTGCTCCATCTCCTTCTTGCTCATGCCAAACTTGTAGTGGCCAAGCAGAAAGGGCCAGACATCCTTACGGATCTCGTGCTGCACACCTCCATAGTAAACTTGCCGTAGCAGCTCCAACTCCTTGTAGTTCTGTGGGACCCAGGAGGTAAAGGTCATATAGCCCCCATGGTAACTGCGGCCCAGCTGGGTGGCCCTATCTCCATCCATCCCATGGAGAGCTAGGGCCGGGGCAGTGATTCAGTCACTCTGCTGAAGCCCAGACAGACTCTGCTTTGGGAGGGTCACATCCTCCCTGCCCCAGACTACAGCTGGATGAGATCCAGTTCAACCTCTCTTCCTTCCAGGATAGGCAACGGAGCAGAGAGGCAGAGATTTGTCCAAGATTTCAGAATAATGTGGAAGCAGACAAGAACCAGTCCAGTCCCCTTCCTATGGAGACCCACAGACCCAGCTGTCTGACCTGGGCCACTCCAAGGCCATTGGTCCTGGCCCTACTACGTTTTACCTGAATGCCCATCTGGTCTATGCAAGCTGCTCCCAGAGCAGGCTGCTCTGCACTCACTGCTGCTCCCCACCCCACCCCGGCCCCTAGCCCTGGCATCCCAGAGTGTGCACCTTTTCATCCTTCTGATACTTGCTCCACACGTCCTTGGTGAGGCCCCCGGAGGCTCCTGGGGGCCGGGCAGGCGGGATGATGCTGTGACGCACGAGCGCTGACAGATGCGTCCTCACCGTGGACAGGTGGCGGCAGTAAGCCAGCCCTGTGGGGGCAGGGGAGCCAGAACACCGTCAAGTGGTGCCTCCCACAGCCCCCACCCCTCACGACCCCACCTCACCCTGCACTCACAGCCGTAGAAGGCCCGGGACACGATTTGCCTCTTCATGCTCTCACACAGCAGCCTGAGGGGCAACCTGTGGAAATAACTTGGTTCAGAGAGGAGGGGCTACGGCCCCTCTGGTTGGGGGAGGTTGAGAGAGAAGGACATCCTGTGTGGGGGACAGGTAAGGTGCTCGGGCAGTACGAGGAGCAGGATCCACAGCCCAGCGACACGTCTGTGGGTTCCCTGTGTCTGGCAGCCACCCTAGGTGGTGCTGCTGGGGACCCAGCCTGGCCCCAACCACCCAAGGGACCTTGAGCAACTAACTTCACTTCATGTTAGTGAATCTGGGTTTCCTCATGTGAAAATGGAGAGAACCACCTCAGGTCATTAGGAGTAACAGGTAAAAGAGAGCACCTTGCAAAAGCATCAAGTGCTGGCAATGTGACCTGCACACAAATGCCATTCACGCACCATTCCTGGCACCTGGCAGATGCCCAGATATCTGGTGTGTCCTCAGATGTACAGCCTGATGGCAGAATCTGCATCCACATTAGGAAGGGGAGCTCGCAAGTACTGCGTACCTACCGTGGTGCCAGGCACAGCTCTGGGCACTCGTATGAGTCATACACCTCATTTAATCCTTACAGGTACCTTACGAACCAGGTGGTATTATTCCCATTTTACAGATGAGGAAACAGAGGCTCAGAAATGTAGAGGCCCACAGAGACTCAATAACTTGCCAAAGTCACATAGGTAGCAGAAGTGAAATTCGAACCCAGGTCTGTCCAACTTGAGGCCACCCTGTCAGACAAGTGACATAGCCCTGAAGGGCAGAATGCCCACACACAGACACACCCACAGGGAGCTGGTGTTCTGGGCCCTGCCCACTCACCGGTCAGGGACACGGCTGCAATGGCTGGGGGCTGCATATGGGGAGCTGCTGGTGGAGCAGGAGAGGCAGGAGGGGCCCTGGCGGCACAGGGCCTCCAGGTGCCAGGTTGGCAGGCCGGGCCCAAAGCCCTGCATTTCAATCATGTCACCAGCATCTGAGGACAGGAAGGGGGCCCTGGTCAGGGCCTGGCAGGCCTCGTCCCCCAAGCACCCTGAAGCACGCCCACCTCTGTGCCCAGAGCTGCAGCACGGAGTCACCCGTTGGTAGCAAATCCATAGGGTGGTGCCTGCCTGGTGCGGAGCCCAGAGATGGAAATGGTGGAGTGCCTGACATTTCCTGCCCTCCACCTAGTCTTTCTGCATGTGGGTAAGTGTGTCTGTTCTCTCCAACTTGCTAGCAGCAACGGAACGAACGCTTGCTTTTCTAGAGGGAGAAGAAAAAAGAGAAGGAACGAAAGCCTAAGCTCTCTAAAACACTGCTAGCTGGCTTGGCTTTTGAGGATTCAGCCTGGTTCTCTTGGACAAACTCTGAGATGCGCAGGAAGGTGCCTGCAATCCTGCATACTTTGAACCTCTCCACACCTGGAGTCTCCCCTGATCAAAGCTCCTAAGGATCCCGGAGCCACTTGTCCTGGTCCCCAGACCTCACCCCTCCGAGGATTCTAGATCTTGTGGTTAAGGAGGAGCAGTGCTCCCCTCCAGGCCAGGTGCCCCCACTGCCAGCTCACATGGGTTCGTCCTGAGTTCTCCATCCTCGCCTTGCCTGAATTTAGCATGGTGGCCTCCTCCAAATACACAGGTGAGCCGGCAGGAAGAGCAAAATTCCCGGGGCTGCCAGGCCACTGAGGAGGTGGTGGCTGGGCACACAGTTCCACTGTCCAGAAGAATGTGCCAGGTGCAGCCTCAGAAGATGGTTCCTTGGACGCATCTACACCGCCAGCAGATTGGGCCAGCTCAGCTGGTCTGAATCAGAACTCAAGACCCTTCAGAGCTCCCAGGGCCTGAGTGGGGCAGAATACCGCTCATAAGGGGTCTCTGGCAGGTCCAGTGAGTCACAAAGATGAAGCAAAGTGAGGGCAGAAAGTGTAAGGACCAGGAGATGACGCCAGGAGGGAGGGGGAGAGCACAGAAGAGGGAAGAGGAGGAAAGAGAGACATGTGAAGAGACTTTTCAAGTAGCTTTTTTTCCTACGAATCACAGCCTGGGCCCTGGCCCTGCCAGGAGTCTGGAGCAGACCTAGGACTGGTTTTTGCAGGAGCCGGACTCCAGCTCTGGGTGTGCCTTGGTGGGGAGGGCTGAGCTGAGCCCTCTCCACTCCCCTCAAAGGATGCCCTGTCTTGGCCTGAGGCTCTCTTCCCAGACCCACAGCTGGGATTTTTGTAGATATTTGGCCCTTCAGCTCCACCAGGAGGCAAATTAAGGGAACATATTTGGTATAGGGGGGCTGCGGCTCTGGGAGTGAGGAGTTGCAAGCCATGCCCAAAAGTGGGAAGAGGGAGGGGATAAATGCAGGTGGGATGGGGCAGGAGCCCAGCTCATGCCCCTGCAGCAGGCAGGAGAGAGGCCGATCGTGGGAGGGGGGCAGGAGCGGGCCCAGCCAGGCAGGCAGCAGGCAACAGGCGGGAAGGTGGGGGCGCCACAGGTGCAGAGGATGAAGGGGGGGGGCACACAGGGAAACAAGCTCATGCCCAGAAAGTAGGGCCCAACCAAGGCAAGACTCCTGGGTCAATGCTCTTCACCTTAATTCTCCAGGAAGGAGCTGAACCAGCCAGCATTGAACACCACATCTCTGAATTAACCCAGTGCAGACAGCTGGAGCTCTGGAGTGACTGGGTGAGGGGCAGCAGGCTGGACATTGGGTGGGGGGAGGGGTCTGCTGGGCCAGCTTTGACTCTGACTCTCTCCTCTGAGCATGAGGAAAGTTTGAAGCAAAAACAATCAGGGTGGTTGAACCCCACAGCCCCTAAGACTCCGAGTGAAAGGTGCCTGGCCTGGAGCAGAATTAGAGTGAACAGCATCTCTGCTCTGTGGGGAGGCAGCAGGAAAAGGAGGAGAGGTGGGGGAGAGGGAGGAGAGTCTGGACACCCGCCACTTGAATCACATGCACAAGTCAAGCATGTCGCAGGCCTGAGAAGCAACGGCTAGTAGAACGGACTCAACAGTGTTGTCATTATGGACTGGGGTGGAGGTGGGGGCTCCCACGTCAAATCCCCAACCACCTGCCAATTCTCCTCTCATGCCTCCTCCCCTTTCCCAAGTACTGGGGCCCAGGAGCTGCCTACTGGGTTGGTCTGGCTCCTGAGTTCCCCAAGAGGAAGCCCTGACAAGCCCTGAGGCCTCGGGTCCCCATGTACATGGAGGCTTCTCTGACCCTGGAGGCCCTAAGACTAGTCGGGGACAGGCTTCCTGGTGCCAAGTCTGCCAGGACAGGGCCTCTGCTGGGACCCCCAGCCTAAGCCTGACATCAGTTCCTGGGGATCCCTGTCCTTCTTGGCTCAGCCTTCCCAAACTGCTCAAAGTCCATTATCCCATAAATAAGCATCAGCCCCAAGCCCAGGTTTGCAAGGGGCCAGACGGCAGTCTGTCTGGCTCCCCTGCACTCCTGCCCGGGCTGGTCTGTGGGTCCTACCAGGAGGGCTGGCAGGGAGGTGCAAGGGCAGGCATGTGGTGGGTAGGGGGCAGCTGGTAGGGCTGTGCTAAGGGTGTGCTAAATGTGTGCTAGGCCATGGACTTGGTTTCCCAGGAAGGGGGGAGACCCATGGCTGCTTTGGTGGCTGGGGTGTCACATATTCTTAGATACATTCTGTAGGGAAGGGAAAGGGGAGAAGAAGTAAATTCTGTGGCATGGGAATGGGTGGGGACAGGGAAGTTCCCCTAAACTCCAAGAGAGCTGGCCCTTCATAACCAATTTTCCCTTGAGCATCCCGGCCTAGCCTTCTCAGGTCCCCTGGCCAGTCACTTTCTAAAAAAAGAGCAGGATTCCCTCTCTACCAGCCTAGCTCTGTGCTAAGAAAGATGGGTGGTACACAGAGGAACAAATGCTGAGGGGCCATGGGCACTGTGCTGTGTCATTTACAACGAAGGGACCTCTGTACCTGTGGATTCCGGGCTCTGTGAAGGCAGGAAACACCTATCTTATATCCCTGGCACATTTATTTCCAGATTTCATGCTGAAGCACCAGGCAGTACCTGCCGGAGCCCTCAGCCCTGCTGGGTAAACCCACCCCTAGGTCCCTTCCCGTGGTGGCTCCAGCACCTCATCCTGAGCCACAGGACTCATTCGTGTGAGCTATCCAGCCTCCACCCCCCCCCCCCCCAAGAAGGGGCCTGGTGCCCCTATCCTGTTTCTGTCAAGTCAGGGACCAGAGGTCCAGGGCTGAGGGTCCAGCCTTCCCTGCCAGCAGGGCACAAAGAGACACTGCCTCAGGTTTGCCAGCATGACCCCCTGGAGTGGGAACAGTGCTCGGAGAGCCATTCAGGGCTCCCAATAGTCAGACCTTCCTAGCAGACGATCCTCCCTCTCAGGCATGAAGCCCTCTCCTTACACTACACCAAGTGGGGAGCCCAGAGCCACCTGCTCTTTGTACCATCCCCTCTTTTTAACGGCACCTCTTTCCACCCTCCCTGACCTGCCTCCTGATGGGGGACCGCCCTGGGTACCAGTCCCATAATGCCAACACTGCCGTCCGAGCCCCTGCGGTGGGTGGCAGGTGGGCCAGGGGGTGGGGCGGGGCAGGGCAGGAGAGGGGCAGGGATAAAAACCTTTCATCGGATTGGGAGCTGTGAGGTTCCGCGAGCAGATCATTGAGAGCATCGCGTGCAGTTTATCCTCCTCTTCCTCATCATCGTCCACCGAGGCCGCGCGGCTGGCCGCTAGGTGGTGGTAGTTAATAGTGACTGCTCAAAGAGAACAGCGAGAGAGGCAGAGGCATGAGGACCCTGGTCCAGGCAGGAGGGACCAGACTCCCTCCTTATGGGGAGGGAGCAGAGTCTGGGTCACCTGGAATCTGCCTGGCACGGAGAAGGGGATGTGGGATGGAAAGCTCTCTGGACCATTTATTGGGGACAGTATGGAAGAAAGTGAGGGAAAGCGGCAGCTCCAGAGCTCCACTGGAGACCCTCTCTAGGAAGAACAGAAGACAGAACTGATGGGGGAGCAAGGGTAGTGAAAGACAGGGACCAGTTGGGACAGGCAGGCGGCTCAGGAGCTCCCCAGCCCTGGCCAAGGCTGGGTACGACTGTCGGCAGATGGATCCTGATCATTCTTTAGCTCGCATCACGGTCAGGCTAGACCAAATTTGAAGATTACCCAAACCCCCTCTTCAGACTGTAAATCCAAAGTTCTCCAAGGTTTGCCCTGAGCTGCTCTTGAGGAGCCTGAGTCACTCGGCTGGGTTTCAGCTCCTGGGGCCCTGGCTTGCCCTTTGGGGAAGCAGTCCTTGAAGCAAAGTGACCAGAATTGGGAAATGCCAAGGCTTAAAGAGGGGAAGCGGAGACTAAGTAATCTAAGCCGAGCAACAGCCCAAGATTAAATGCCAGGTTTGCAAACACATTCTAACACAAGACATGACTCCTAGTTAGGTACCTCTGGAAGGGGAATCCCCCCGTCTTGTACCCTTCAAGCCTGTTGGGGCTGGTTGTGCCATGGCTGTGTGTTAGCAGGCTGGGTAATCTGTCCACTAATACAGAAACAACTTGCTCACAACTTATTGGCACAAGTTGGGAAATTCAGGGAGCAGGTGGTCCAGCTGGCAGCAAATGCTCCACACTGGTAAATTCTCTGACCTTATCCCCACGATTGGCGAGTCTGGCCTATAGGGCGTACCAGCACTCAGACCAGAAAAGAAACTCTGGTGTCACCAGATACCTATGCACAGGCCCCATGGGCCCAAAGGTGTGCAGGCAGGGCAGGACCCATGAGCGCCAAGCCACCTTTTCAGCCCCCAAGTCCCCAAGGTCCCCCAGGCAGCTCCAAGTTTCACCTTCTTCAGATGCATCCCTACTCCAGTTAAAGCTCTTCTCATCAGTAGCTAGTTTGAGAAGGGCTCTGGCTCTGGAGGAGTCAGTGAACAATTTGCACCGTCCATAAAGAAGCACTGATTCTGCACCCAGGCTGCCTTGTGGAGGTCAGGTTGTGGGCCAAGGAGGAATGTAGAGTTCTCCATCTTCTATTTCTGGTCTCACCACATTTTTTTTCCCTTGGGGCAGGGAAGGAAAGGCTAAGAGGATACTGTACAATATCGGCTGAGCCAAGAATCTTGGGGTAACGAGGCGGAGGAAGACAGCTAGGGGAAGAGACAGGCAGCTTCTCAGAGGGATGATGTGCAAGGGATGGTCTGGGGAGAGGCTGAGTAATGAACCCCTCCTCTCAACCTGGCCTGGTCAGTGAGTGGACCCTGCCTGTAGCCCCTCCTGGGTCTCACTGTACTCCCCTACCTCCCTGAGCATCTTTCTCCCTTCCTCCACGGATGAGGCCTGGGATACTCACTGTGCTCGTGCCTGTGGCCGGGGTAAATGATCCGGAACACGTAGTCTGTGGCCCTCCCGGTGCCCATCTCCTCCACATCCACAGTCCGCATGCTGCTGCGTTTCCGTAGCTTGGGGAACACTTTCCCCTGCGGAGGGAAGGGTGGGTGGTCAGCCTGTGCAGAGCAGAGTCTGATCCAAGGTCCCACCCAAGGCAGCCTCTAAATTGGAGAGGCTTTCCTGGAGAAAGGAAGGAAGGTGAGCAGAGAACCCCCCTCACACATCCCTTTACTCCAGAGTGTTCCAAGCCCTGAGGTACCTTCCCCTGCTGGGTCCAGAGCGGGGGCTCTAGCTGTCCTCGGGGCAGAAGTCCATTCTCCAGGCAGGACAGAAAGGACAGCAGGTGTCCTCCCTGTGGGAAGTGCAGTGGTGGCCTCTGGATGCCATCCTGGCTCACCAGCACGAGTGTGCCGCCGCTCTCTGTGGGGTGTATGTGGGCGAGTGAGGCTGGGCCTCCCTGAGACCTCTTGGCCATCACCACAGCCCAGTCAGCCAGGCCTCCCGGTTAGGTGAAGCACGGGGATGACAGGAGGAGGATAGGATATCCAATGGGCCATGCACAGCATGTGGCTGGGAGAAGGCGGTCTTTTTCCCCTCAACCCTGTACCCAGGACAAGGGAGGCTCACTTTGCTGGTGGCAGTGGATGCAGACAATCTGACTGAAGGGCACAACCAGGGCATAGTCCCAGTAAACGCTGGAAATGAACCAGATTGGTGTCACTGTGTCCCAAGACCTGTCATCCCGCTTTTTTCATCTCCCACCACCAATACCTGTGAAACTACCCTGAAGACAGGAGGACCATAGCCGAGAAGTGACCTCAGCCAGCCATGTCCCTCTGGGCCCCGTGCTGTCATGGCACAGAGCCCGGCAGTCTCAGCTGCCTAGAGCTTGGCTCAGGCAAACCTCTTCATGCCAGGCCTGGCTTGATCTTAGAGAGCTCTCTCCAGGCAGCCTATTCCTGCAGTTCTTGGCATCAGGATAAGGAGTGAGACCTGCCTCCTGGAGTAAGCTGAGTATGTCCACCCACCTTTCCCCCCAGGCAGGCCCCCCCCAACCCTTCCCTGGCTTCTGGGAGGGAGTCCCAGAGCCCCCACCTTTTCTCCAGCTCGGAGTCCCCCAAAGTCCCGTTCATGAGTTGGTTGGGAGTCCATTTCAGAGTTAGGCTCTCTGCGGACTGGTGCAGGGAGAGGTAGCCAGGGACAGCCTCCATGTCCTCCTTCTAGGGGGAGGAGACACAGCAGAAGGGAGAGGTGATAAGGGGTCAAGGCTCCCAAGGGAGGCCTATGGGAAATAAGCTCCAGGCGGGAGCTGGGGAGGCTGATCTAGCATAGTCACAGGATCCTGGAATGGAGGCCAGGAGGAAGTAGGGGAGAATACAAGTGACATGTAGATGTGGGCACCTCCTCTCCCTGGCTGGCCTGGTGCTGCTACTGGTTCTGTCTTGTTAGTCTCCTGGATGCCAGGTACATCCTGGGCCAGCCATCCTGTTCGTCCTGTCTTCTGGCTGCCATTCCCACTTTTGGATAGCCTGGTTCTCAGTTATCCAGGGCAGATGACATTCCTGCCTCCTGCCAACTCAAGGCTGGGCACAAGGCTTGTGAAACTGTGAAGTGGGGGGCAGGGCCCTTTCTCCCCCTTCTCGCTAGTCAAACCCCTGAAGAACGGGACAAACGTGACTGGAAGGTTCCAATCCTGGGGCCTTCAGGAGAGGGAAAGGACGGGTGGGCATTAAAGTTTTCTTACTGGCTGCACTAGCACGTTGTTCTTGCCGTAGAGCAACCGTGTTCTTGAATTCTGGTGCAGGGACTCCACATACTCGCGGGCACAGGCAGCTAGCCTGTCCTCTGATGCATTGCCACTTGAGTGCCGCTTCCGAATCTGTGCAGAAAGGCACGGCTCAGCCCCCAGCCCTGGGAATCAGCCTCAGGGAATGTTAAGATTCCACACAGACCCTCTAGCTGACCCAGGGGTCCACTCTGTCCTGGGTCTGCTCTTGGCCGCCCTCTTCTCTCCAGCCATGGACCATTGGTGCTCCTGGCATTTATATGTTAAGTGCCAGTGTGGATAAAAGGCTCTCCTGAGGTAACCAGTACCTTGGTGCATCTCCAAGGCCCAGATTGCGTCTGCAAAGAATATGGAGGCCAAACTGCCCTTCCATACAGGCTCATGGGCATAGCCTGGATAAGTATGAGGGGTGGGGAGAGGGATACCTACTCCTAGGGCTGGGCGCTTTGCAGGGGAGTCCTGGCGATTAGGGGGACCCCGGATACGGTGCCTCTGGACTAGCTCATCAGCAGAGGGGTCAGTCCAGTAGTGATCAGCAGTCTTGAGCTTGGTGTACTCCAAGGCACAAGGTCCCACTGTGAAGACAGGGACAGTCAGCTCACACGGTGCCCCTTTAGCACCTGTCCCTCAGCCCCCACTAGCCCAGCACCAGCCTCTCTGCTCTTAGGCTCACCTAGAAGAGAGGCCAAGATGGGGCCAAATACAGGATCTGCCAGTAACGCTTCCTTCTCGTAGTACTTGCTGCCAGGGGGAGAGACAGACAGCAGGACTCATTCCAGGGCAGTCAAACTTACCAAGCAGGGACATCTCCACAAAGACCACATTCATGTGAATCACTAAGAAGTGAGTACATAAGGACTGAGCTCTTTGTGGGGTGCCTGGTGTGGTCTACCCAGGTGGGGTGCCTGGTGTAGCACCCTTTGGGGTGCTAGAGGGGAAGACGGGGCAAGTCTATAGACTATTGTGAACAATCAAGCCTGCTGAGGCGTAGGGGTGCAGGGCTGCTCAGGAGGTGGGCCCCAAGGAGGGGCTGCCTGGGGGATGGGGCAGTCACCTGCAGTTTTCCACGAGGTACTGCATGACCCTGTCCAACACTTTCTCGATGAGCGCTGTGCGTACCCATATGTGTTTTAAGGCCTGTAGGCTGAGAGCCGGGGCCTTCCCGCTGGCAGAGCCCTGTCTCCGCAGGGCATCCTGGTTGCCCGCTGAGGGTTTCCTGCAAAGAAAGTGTGAGGGCTTGGGGGTAGGCCCTGGACTGGTGGCATTGGGAGCAGAGTTTGGTGCCACAAGAACCCAGAGGACTAAAATGAGGGGTTGAAGTGGGGGACAGCGCATTGTGTCTAAAAGGAGCCAACCCCCACCCTTAGGCTGGTCTTTCACCCAAGGGGCCCGGCAAGAGATGAGCCCAGGAAGCCAACCTGGGAAGTAGCAAATGCCAAGTTCAAAAAGCAGAAGAGAGGGATGGGAGGAGCTGGCCTGGGGCTCACCTGCCCTCTACTTGTTGCTGTAGCTCCTGTACCTTGTGGCAAATCTCCCCAGCCACTGGGCATGTCTTCCCCACCTTGGTGAACAGGGCTGCCATCTTGTCACTGCGCAGGAAGCCGGCAGCACGGCGTCTCAGCTGATGTAGCAGGCAAGCCTCCACTGCACCTGAGCCACAGAGGGAACGAGCACCTGAGCCCAGGTGAGAGGGGGAAAGGGAGAAACACTCCTCTTCCTCATACCGATGGAGAGCAGAGGGGCAAGGGCGGGCTCTGACCCATGCAGGGATGAGGGGGAGGGGTTTCAGTCTGAGGCAAGCCATGGAGACATACCCTGACCGCCTTCCAAAATTCCCCTCCCAGTCTCTCTGCCCCTGGCCAGGGTGGACCTGCAGGGGCTGACATGCCATACCGTCCCTCTCCCTGTCCCTCGCCTGGTGTGTCCATGCCTCCTGTATGCAGCATCGCCCCTGGGACTGTGAGGCCCAAAGCTGCCAGTCCGAGTGGCTCCTCACCTGCCCACGAGGGCAAGCACGGACTGCACCTATACAACAGGGACTGCAGGGAGCACAAAGCCCAGCAGCCCTCCTGGAAAGCATGGATGATGTGGTTGCTAAGGAACAGAGCTCTGGGAAGGAGCTGAAATATTGATGAGGCCACTGCAGAGATCAGACCCAACATCAGCCCCTGAATTATTGATGAGCCCTGCAGCCAAGAGTGAGAGGTTTCTATTTCCCATGCTGGGAGGATTTCCCTTCACTCATTCATGTTTTTAGGGGCTAGTTTTATTCTCTCCATCTGTATCCTGTAGGAAGGGCTTGGTGGGAAAGGGCGGGGAGTTGCCCTGGTATATATAGAGCCTACAAAGATTAGTATGTGAGGGGGCGGTGCTTGGCCATTATCAAGGAGGGAAAGCCCTAGAAAGGGGAAGGGATTTGACTGTAGTCACACAGTGGCAGAGCCAGGACCATGACCCAGGACCCCAAATCCTAGCCCAGACCCTTTCACCTTCTCCAGGTATGTTGGGGGTGCCACAGGTGTGAGGAGGGCTCCCCTCATGTCACAGGTGCTCTTTCTGCATGGATTGACAAGTGCTGTGCTGGAGGGGGGAGTCAGAACAGGGTCTGGAGCTTAGCATGGCCACTCGCTACCCCTAGGAAACGTGGGTGATAATGCTCTGGGCCCACTGTCATCTGTGAAATGGGGCTACTTAGGATTGGCGTGAAACGTTACATGAGATGAAGGGCATAAAGCCCTTGCACAAGTCTGGCACACGGGAGGCACTCGGTCTTTGCCGGTGCCTGAGCCCTCAGCCCTTTTTGGCAAGATCCTATTCCACAGTTAAGCTGCAAGGGCTGGGTTTTTACAAGACCTCTCCCTGGCAGGAAGGGGAGAGGGCACATTAGAGAGAGGGCCGCAGGCTGTCCAGAGGTGGGTGGAGATGCTATTCTCTCAGGAACAGGGGAACTGAGGCCCCTCAAGTCGACTGTGACTAGTGCTGTTAGAATATGAAGCCTGAGCTTAGGAAACGACCAGTGACCCTGGGCTCTCACCTGGTTTTCGTCTTCATTTTTAGTAACTGGAAGGCAGTCACTGCTGTGCTATAAGGGCTTTGTCTGGCCTGCTCCTGTACTGAAGTCAAGAAGTTGGAGAGAGTCCCTGGGACCAACCTGCAGGCCAGACCCAGTGAGAACACCCCAAGGGAGGGGAAACAAAACAGGACCCTCCTCCTACTTGTTTCCTTCTGGGCTCTTCCCTGGTTGGGCCTCAGAGGACTTTATTTTACAAGGCACAGCCTTTCCTTCACAGCACGTTCATACACGTATGTGCACATGTGTATACAGACGTATCTACATATTTACTTGTATGGGGCATGTGAGGGAATCTCTGCTTAAATGTCCACATACTCTACTCCATGGCTGTCCCCTTGGTCTCTGGAGGTCCTGTGTGGCCCTGTGGTACACAGGTGAATGAGTCCCAGTCTCTTGGTCCTGGGGCTGCAGCGCCTGTAGGAAAGTGGTGACCGTTTCCCGGGATTGTATGCCCCATTCAGAGTGCTCTGGAGAGAAGCGGCACTGAACACAGCCAGAGTGGCAGCTGGTGGCACCAGTCCTGCAAGGAATCATGTGCCTCAGTGATGTGACTAATTGCTGGCATAATGAGACATTAGCCTTCCCACCTTCCCCAGGAGACAGCAAATGCAGCCAGGCTGGGGAGCCTGGGAATGGCAGGGAGCAGCACTCCCATCCCGCCTGGCCTCACCCACCCTCTCAGGCAGCCTCTGAACACAGGCATTAGGGCTCTCTGGGGTGAGTGGAGGCATTCCTCAGCAATTACTGCAGGTAGAGAAGCCCAAACATCACGCCTAGTACCCTCCTGCTCACCCCACAGCCCATACGTTCCTTCTGTGAAATGCAGGCAAGATGCCAGGCAATGTCTGGGGAGGGAGAAATCCCTCTCAACTCTCTACTTTCCAAGCAAAGTAAATGATCCTCTATGCCAGGTATATCCTAATCCAGTTCCATGGGCTCCTTGGCCAGTGGCTGTTCAAACTACACTTGTTCTTTCCCATTCCCACAGGGCTGTCCACCGCAGAAAGTCAGCACGCGCAATGAAAAATACTGTGTGCAGCATATAGGCAAGACAGTAATATGATGATAGTAACACTAACAATGATCGAGAATTGAGGGTTTGTGGGTGGGCTTCTGGGCCTTCCAAAGACCCCCAAATATTGCATACAAAATTGTTGGTGTGCTCCAGTATGACTAGGTGAGTGCTCTTTGTCTGGATAAAGGATCCAAGATTTTTAGCTTCTAAAAGGAATACATGACCCCCAAAAGTTCTAGAATCCCTGCTCTAAGACTTTTGGGTTGCGCTGAACCACAGATGGTTCCACTGGTCGAAACTCAGAGATGCAAGAATACTCTCCCTGCCCCACAATGTACAGTGCAACACCACTCAGAACTCGGTTGCAGAGCCATCAGCCACAAGGCCCAACTCTCCTGCTGCCCTCAGTCTCCAGAGAGGGCCTCTCACAGACTGTCAAGCACCCTTTCCCAGCAGAAACCAGCCAGAGGCCCATGTCTCTCCTCTCCTGACTGAAAGCCCAGAGCACCAGGCAGAACTCCAGCTCCTTATTCAGCTTTCTGTCCCAGACTGCCACCATGACCATTCCCTAGGGTGGAGGCCTGTGGCAGGAGATGCCAATCATGGCTCAAGCACCAAGTCAGCTGAACCTCTCCTCCTCCTAAGTGAAGGTTCAGGAGCCCCTGTCCCACTGGGTCCTGGTACCACCCACAGCCACTCTGGATCCGCCAGAAGAGGGGTGAGATATCCCTGACAATATCCAGCTCAGTGTACTAATTAATAAAAATCAACACTGGTTTTGGTCATTGGTTGGGGTGGAAAGGTTTGGGTAAATGAATTGAAACAGAGAAACAGACATGATTCAACAAGCATAACCCTCTCACCCCTCACCTTGCTCTTGGAACTTTGGAGTCATGGTGCCCTCTCTACTCTGTCATCCCATACGACTGACAAGAAGGCCCAGGGAACTGCAAGAACTTTGCTGTGGACATTTCCTCTCCCAAAAGGTCTGGTACTATCTACCAAGGGAAAAGCTGGGAATTACAAGCCCAGACTAGCCCTGGAACTTTCCCTCACCAGCCTCTGATGTGCCAATAAAGTCTGTTAAGCTATGGGGCTTAACAAAGGCTAAATGGGCTGGAGAGCCCAAGTGCTAACAGAATCCTAAAGGGCCCCTCCCACAACTCCTTACATACCAATTTAACCATTCCCAGGAGTCCAATTTAGAACAGAGAAGACACGGGTAGATAGAGATGGCAGGGACCCAGGAAGTTACTAAATCTTCTCAGACCGTACTGGGAGGAGAGCTGACTGGCACCACTCCGGTGGAGGTAGGGTGGCACTGTCTATCACCATTGCAAATAACCTCTGACCTTCTTCTGAGAATCTAGCTTACAGATGTAACTGCAAGAGTACTTAAGTTACAACAGCAAAAGACTGGAAACTATCCTCATGTCCATCAATGTGGACAGGTTAAGTATACATGGGGCATTCATACAACAGATTATTAAACAACTCTGCAAAAGAATGAGGATGTTTTCTAGGAGCTAACAATGAAAAGTCTCCGAAAGCAAGATGCAGAACACTATGACTGGATACCTTTTCATTACAAAAAGGGTACGTGGGCAGTAAACAAAGAATGTAATTTCTTTTATTAGGATAAAAAACTCTGGAAGGATATATAAGAAACAAAAGTGGTAGTGGTTACCTGTGTGGGAACAGGTAAGTGGGGGGCAAGTGGGTAAATGGCGGCAGGAAAAGGAGTCAACTTTTCACTGTATCTCTTCGGTACAGTTTTGATAAAAAAAAATTTTTTTTTACATTTATTTATTTTTTGAGAGACATAGAGACACAGAGCACAAATTGGGGAGGGGCAGAGAGAGAAGGAGACACAGACTCCAAAGCAGCCTCCAGGCTCCGAGCTGTCAGCACAGAGCCTGACGTGGGGCTTGAACTCACAAACCATGAGATCATGACCTGAGCCAAAGTCGGACGCCCAACTGACTGAGCCACCCAGGTGCACCTGTACAGTTTTGATTTTTGAACCAGGTAACACGTTACCAATTCAGAATAATAACAAACAGGTGACCATCCAACCCAGATACCATGATTCTATCATGAGACGATGTTAGAGACTTTTTCTAGCCTGCGAAATCAAAACTCACAAAACTCAGAAAGGCTGGGTCTGTCCATGGGCACCCAGTCCTTCACCAGTTCCCGCAGCATTCCTCCCAATTGGCTTGGTTCCCCACCCCCACAGGAATACCTGGGCTCTGCTTAGGGAAGCCACAAGTGATCTGAGCTGGGCAAGGACCAGAGAAACAATTCAGTGGGCTAGCACAAGCTGAGATGTCACAAGAATGGACTAAAACTGGGGTGCTTAGGTGGCTCAGTTGGTTGAGCGTCCGACTCTTGATTTTGGCTCCGGTTGCGATCTCATGGTTTGTGAGTTCAAGCCCGCATCATCAGGCTTTGTGCTAACAGCACAGAGCCTGCTTGAGATTCTCTCTCCACCTCCCACTGAAAATAAATAAAACATTTAAAAAATTTTTAAAAATGGACTAAAACTATGGCTGTGCAGCA